GAATATTGACTATTCCAACAGAACTCAATGGGATTTACAAAATGCTAAATAAAACACTACAGGAACGTTTTTTCTTTACGAAACTTTTTTTGGAACGTCATTGAACAGCGCTGACGACACGGTGAGTAGCATATTTTAAAAAAAGAACGTTTAAGGTTGTTTTAAGGACATTATCCGACATGCACTATGGCAGCCATTATGAAGCAGCCAGGGATTGATTCTAAATGAGCCAAAAAGCAGAGACAGGAGCAATTGTCAAACTTTTGGTGTCGATCATTCGATTTCATCCTGGACACTACAGAAAATGGGCTAAAAGTGTAAAAAACCGAACTTCTCCTTTAAGATGAGCACACACAGGGTAAAGATTGCACTGGTTCTGGTACTGGTCCGGGACTTGGTTTCACAGAGAAATCTGCAGAGAGGGATTGTTTGGTTAGCCAGGTAGCAGCGATGTCTTGACAGAGTTTAGATTCTGATTTGTACCTGATGAGGTTCAGACTGATCGGTGGAGAGAGGGAACCGGTTGGGTCCAGAGACTGTGGATTCAGCAGAGAGCTCAGCAGCGGCAGAGCTTAGCTTCAGGCTAGAGAGGTTCAGACCTTGAGTTATTCTCCTAGTTCTCTCCTGAGAACTAGGTGGGAAATTCAGACTGAGGATCTTCAGGTTTGGCTTCTCTGGGCAGGCAGGCAGGTTTTCAAACATGAGCTCCTCCAGAGCTACAGACTTCAGTCGGGTTTTTCCTATGAGCAGAGAGCAGAGAAGACGGAGACTGGTTAGGATCAGGTTGCTCTCTAGAGCAGACAGAGATTGTAAATTCAGGCTGAGGCTCAGGTTCCGCTAACCAAAACTGGTCAACACTCTGGCACTGAAGACAGGTCTGGTCGCTGCTTATGTAGCTGGTCTCCTGATGGGCTGATGATCCTCAGGTGTGCAGGAGGCTCCAGCTCAGGAGACCCATAGCGCTCTCTGCTGGAGACAGGTGGCAGATCTCCAGATCCCAACATGCAGGTCATGACCGAACCTTAGCTGTTGACTGGAGTATTTGTTGAAAATGGCTTGAGAGCTCATTATACTGTGTGTTACTACATTTTTTCAAGCATGACTTTATTGAACCAGTTGAAATACATGCATTCAAGATAGAAAAGTCTGTGAGAGCAATAACATAGACTGTCAGGGAACGCTGGGAGAGGATGAGGTAGCCCTGACATGATCATAAAACACATTAAAGCGTTCAATCCCATGACATTACACTTGCAAATTTGAATGGAAATCTTAGTGATTTCAACAAGTAGATAATTGCTGTAAAATGTAACATCAATAAACAATAAGAGCAGTAAGTCATCATTGGATGATCTACTGATTGAAGCCTCTCACTATTATAGAAAATCAATGTTTCATGCCCAAAAACCTGTAATTGACTTTTTTAATGTCAGAAAAATTTTAAGAAAAACTAACTTAATCTAAAGCGATTCTCTATTTGAGAACAATTAATCATTCTATGAAAAAAAATACTTTCTTTTCAGTGGCAATTAAAGTGTCAAATATAAAATTAACCATTACTTCTGTAAATGTAGAGGAAAAAGTGTTAGTATAGCTAAAGAGTTGTAAAATCAAAACAGGAAAAATAAACCGATTGCAAAATTAGAATAAACATTGCAGTACTAAAAATGGGAAGTAACATTTTAAATATTTCAATAGCATTGGGCAGCACTGGCTTGCCACATGGCCATTCAGGAAAAGTCAGTTTGGCTGTCCAGTCCAAGACTGTCAAAAAGTAATGGTAATTGCCTCTTAACAGCCTTGGATAAGTAAACAATTACATTTAATTAACACTGTTTTGTTCTGCTTTTAAAAGGACTGTACCTTTGTAAAAATATCAGAGTTACAGCTTGTAGCAAAGCAATTTTTCTCTGGGAACCTTTTTTTTTTTTTTTTTTTTTTTGGTGAGACCAGGAAAGATATTATTCCTGTGGAAAAAACAACTTTAAACAAGACAGTGGTCAATAGTGAATCTTAATCTTCTCTTGTTTTGTGTCTTTAGTAAAGCGATTTTTTTTAATACAATACAACAATACAAATATGAGTCAAAAGTTGAATCTAACCATCAGAATTAATTCAAACTAATAGGGTTTACAGTTCTGAAATACATCAGTGAGGACGGACATAGTGACCTGTAGGCTGGGAGCAGGGTGTCTGGGTGCATTAGCACCGGTGACGGTGTTGTCATAGGGTGGAGTGGGCATTGTTGCCTTGGGTGGTGGTCCTAGCTCAGATTGGAGAGAAATGTCAGAGTAGGAATGCAGCTGTTAACAACAACTGAGATAGATATGGGTCATGGATTGCTGGGCCCTTTTGCTTGAAATATTGTCGCTCTGTGCTGGTTTGTAGTTCCAGGGGGCTAGGGGTGAAAAAGGAAAATATGAGAAAAAAAACAACATTAAAGCAGTTTCGTTTTACGTACTGACTTTCTCCAGAAACTCACACATTCAAATAAGCAATGCATGCGTGACAAAAAGAAGATGAAATAAATCAATTCATTCAATATGTCTGTTATCTCAGACAATCAGTCAACAGGTATCCCCCCCCCCCCGATTTTAGATTCTCTGAACAAAACACTAAATGTGTTTTAAAGAAGTATGCATTTTTAGTATTCAACTATATGTTAAAGGTACATGCACATGCACAACCCTGTACACACTCACAAACGCGTGCAAGAACATGCACGAGCCCATCTCACCTTGTGAATTGCAATATTTCCACAATGTCAGACTCACCACCAGTACGTGAAAATAGGGACAAGCATGTAGGACGGTCTAACATAAACATATAACCAAAACGATTGACTTTTAGGAGGACCCCTTATTTTGATGATCCATCCAGAAAAAGAACATCCTCCACTATACCTTTAAGGACCAAGTAGATTCATTTTTGGCCCAAAACAATAAGAAGAATATCTCACAAATAGTTGAATGGTTTATTGAATCTCCAAAAAAAAAAAAAGAAAATTCACTGTTTAATAATTCAGGGTTGATCAGTCCAAGCATTTTATATTAGGTTTTCCTAGAAGGATTATGAATTGCAGTCCATATCTATTTAAAGAACTGTAAAATGTCAACATTAGCATTGTTGGTAGTCAACAGTTAGTTGGAGAATTTAGGCTTATTGTTAAAAAAATGGTAAGCAACTGTGTTAACACACATGCTGTTTAAAAAGAAAAGTTTAATTGATTTTATTCTTATGAACTGGCTTTTTTTCATTGTCTCTGTAGTCAGTGGAACATGCTTACACCATCCTCAACAACAGAACAAAACCCCCATAGAAACTGAATAGTTGTAGTAGATAAGAGGACACTGGCAGTTATTTTACGTATTACTCAGAAGGAAAGTCAAATTATTGGAAATAATAAACTCAACAAAAAAAAAAGACCAACAAAAATCAATCAATAAATAAATTACGAGATTAAAGTCATGATAAAATAAATTTGGAAGATTATTGGTCTTTTCAGAGAAACATCTTCCAGAAAAAAACAGATTTGAACAATATCTGACCAATGCAGCCGAACTACAAAGTATCTGAGCTCCTTTTTTGAACCATAATATTCAAATAATCTGACGCTGCTGGCCTAAAAGGTTTCACACTTCCTTACTTGTAAAATGACTACGAAAGAATAACTACAAAAACTTCTCAACAGTCCTTAATTCAAAGCAGAGGATCACAGCACAAGAGCTCTTATTACATAATATTGACTTTACTCTTGTAAGATTACAGCTTTAATCACGTAAAATATGATATTAATCTGGCAATATTATGTCTTTAGTCTTATACTGTTAACACTTTAACCTCATAATATTACAACTTACTGTAATCTTTTGATATTAAGACATTACTCTTGTGATATTAAGACTTAAATCTCATGATATTAGAACTTTAATCTTGTAATATTAAGACTTTTTCTCCTAATATTCTGAATTTACTCTCATAATGTTAGGACGTTATAATGTTATGTCTAATGTCTTATTCTCTTAATATAAGGACTTTATTCTCATAATTCTACTTTATTCTCATACAGTAGTACATCCCCCAACTATATTACAATCAGATAAATACAGGATATATCACACTATAAAAAAAGATTAAGCGCACAATCTACAGCAATATAACAGGTCACCCTCTTTAACCTCTCAAAACCCACCCGATCGCCGGGGACCGTTTTTATAGCGTTTATAACTAATAACTCAGAATGCATGAAAATTACAATGCTAAAATTTTTACCAATATCAAATCAAGTCTTCTTTTTTATTTCTTTTTTTTTATAAAAAAAAGTAAATAAATAAATAAATCCAGTCTTCAATTGTTCATACTCCATTCGTCCATAAGGGTCCACAGATTAAAAGAAATCCATAATATTCATAATAAAAATATTCCATGGTGAGCAACCAATAAATTGAGGGAAATAAAATGTATCAACTTGCGGTTTGATTTTGTAGAGTCACAATTTAAGATGAGATATCCAAGAAAGCGCTATGTTGTAAATGCCTCCAGGTTCTGTTTCATGTGTGTTCAGCTCATATTAGAGGTATTAAAAATTAAATTTTTGCATTTTTTTTCTGTTTTGTATCTCCATCAGGACCTTTCATCTTCTCAAAGCAGCTATTCTCATCCCACCAACTTTGTGTCCTTTTCTATTCACAGCCGAATTTCATGATACCTTTATAATACCAACACTATGACATTTTTTATAATGCTGTGTCAACTCACAGGCAAAAGAAGTTTTAATCTCCTTGTGACTGTGGCCCTTTGAACTCGTGTTTCACAGAAACCTTTTTAGTCTGATGCATCTCACTCTACCTCATTCCCTCCCTGGTGAAAAAAGGCATGTGAAATGCAAAGAGATTTCAAATGCATTGCTTTGTTCTCATTGAACAGATGTAAGTAGAAAATCTAACCTTTCTTTTTCCCCCCCGTTATTTCTGTTTTCCACTTGGTTTCTATTCCATTAGTTAATTCACACCATCAGTGTGGTGGATAGAGATGAACCACCATCTGGACATCGCTTTTTCTTCACGCTACCATCTGAAGCTGCCAGTAGTCGTCATTTCACTCTCTGGGATGTCAAAGGTAAGATGGACGGTAAAATATTTTTTTTAAAAACACTGTAGCTATAGTCATGAGATCCCATGCCACTAATTGTCAAATTCTCTAAGATAAAAAGTGTAACATGTTTGGTGTTAGTGGAACTTTCCAAGATATGTGCTGGGCAACCTTTTCATGTCATTTAGTCTTGTGTGGTCCTGTAAGCTTTCTATTTGCCTTGTGTCATGCCCAATGTTCTTTCATAATGACTGCGTGAAAGGTTTCTCTACAGATCACTGGGGGGCCAAGTTTTCCCAAGAGAGTATGCACTAGAAAATCCCCTAGCATGCACAAGCTGGTTTGTTTACCTGGCAATTCAAAGTTTTTTCTTTGCATTTCTCCCAAAGTGGATGCATTTCACTTTACCATGTCTCTTTTCCTAAGACACTCATGACAAACTGCTGCATAGGTCTGACCGTGACAGACCAGGGGTCTTCCCTGGTATACAGGCAGAGTTGCAGAGAATTGCAAGGGGCCTACCAGACCCATTCATTTCAACCGGATGTAATTGCTATGACTTCATATGGTCTGTTTTCTCCATGGGACCAGATGCTATATAGGCTACAGTGTCTTAGCCTTTATTTCTATCCTTCCTCTTCTTTCTGTTTCATCAAGATTTGAGTGGATTTCAAGAAACAACAATATCTGGCTATGGCTCCAAATTTGCCTAAATGCAATTGAAAACTCTCTTACGTCCCTTGCATCATTTAACAGAACACTTTATCAATAGTTCTAACACTCTTCATTCCTTAAACTAAGGGATTTGCTATTAGTTCAGATTTTTTGAAATCTGCTAGACTTCAGAATCCAGCATCAAGTTTACATGGGCACAGTCGTGTTCTAAAACTACAAATATTTAGGCCAGTAGCTTACTGTGATTGCATACAAAGGTCTTTTGTTGAAATTATCACTCTGTTCACTGTATTTTATTTCTGTGTTGTGCAATTTATTTGTGCTTTATTTGTTAGTGAATAAAGTGCTTTTGTGATTAGAGGTATAAGATTTTTCATGTGTTAAATGAGTAAATAAATTACAAAAAAATTGGAGCTGGCCAATGCTTCAACACTGTCAATTGAGAGAAATGGGTAAAGAAAAGGTAAAAGTCAAGTATCAAGTGTTTAAAAAAAAGAAAAGAAAAATGATGCCAAGAGAAATAAAACCCACGTAGCACATAAAAAACAGTATGAACATTGGTCTTCACTGGAGCGGTGGCAAAAGCTGCAGAAGACTTCAGATTTCGCAGCCAACTTGATGTAGTTGACAGTGAGCTGAGTACACAGGCTTGCTAATACTGATAACATAAATACTCATTCAATTTGGGCCCTTTAATTCCAGTGGTGGAAAACTTTATATGATATTTAAACAATACGATATTAACCATCGTTTCGCTTTGAATTGTATCTATTATTAATCAAGCATTCAAAATCACCTGAACTTATCAATAGACTGAAATGTTGACCATTCTATTTTAGATTTCCTAAAATCTTTTAAATTGTCTTGTAGTTTTACACAAGCAAAATTCTATGAAGCTTCATTAGAAGCCAACAATCAGTAACAGAGTTCTCAAAGTGTATAAAAAAATTCTATTTCTACTCTCTTCCAAGTAGCATAAATGCTTCAAAGAGTCATTGCAGCACACAAATTTTTTAACATGGATGGCAGTTTCTTAACTGCTTAGAAACTAAGCACGAATTGGCCAAATCCATTATATAAAAAAGGACTGTTTTCAAACATAGATATAAGATCAAGATAAAAGCACTCCTATTTGTTCTGTAACTGACACTCATAATTATAACTTGGATAAAAACAGTGCCTACATGTCATGTTTTATGAGACTGACTTTACTTCAACAACAAATGCTAAATTTTAAAATCCCTCCTGTAATATGCATAGACTAATATATAATTTTTTATCAACTGATATTACTGGATTCTTTCCACTTTAGTAAATTATATTATATATACCGTTGAATTGGACCTTCATAGAATATCTGGATATATGAGTTTCAAAATTGGACTGTATTAGGGTGAAGTAGATTTAATTTCAGTTTTGAATAAATTGGTTGTTAATTATGGGGTCTGACCTGAAACATTGTGTTTTTGGGATAATATATGAATTAATGCATCTGAATTAGCTTTATTAATGGTTTAGATGGTTAACATTACTGGTATATAAAATGGCAGAATTTGTAGTTTTCACAGCCAGATTTATTAATAAATATAGTCTTATTACAGTACATGTATAATATAATCAAAAATAATTTTAATACATCCCATATCTGAGTACTGTTTTCGCAAAAGAAAAGAAACACTGTATTTGTTAGAAAGAAGCTGGTCTGATTGTATAAACTAGTCCAAAGACAACATTAGTTGTTTAAAAAAACTTTATATTAAATGAACAATGAGCAGAAGGTTTTGTTCAATTGCTATGGCAGTTGTATTACAGTTAGCCTTTATACATATCCTTAGGAAAATGGATAAACTCAAAGTGCATGCTGGCAATAACTTTGCTTTGTCAGGAAAATGACTTTTTTTATACTCGTCAGTGATTTTGCATGCACGCTTGCAGATCCGTCATTTAGGGATGTGTATCTAAATAAATGTGACATCAGGCTAAATCAAGATTGATCTGACACTGGGAAAATGTCAGAAGAGCATTCTGAGCCAGGGAAATGTCACTGTGTGAAGGCAGAAGGGTCTCCTGCTGAACCTTGCATGTGCATTTGAATGGAAAGGTGCATAGCCTGTGTGTTTATGAAACATAGGTGCATACATTGTACTGTTTCTTTGCATACTAATGAATAGGCAGGGAATAAGCTATAATATAGTTGTGTTTTGGTTTTGTTTTTATTTAAGGTACATTAACCATAACCACAAAATTAAACATAAAGGTACGTGTTTTATTTAAGTTTCATGCATATGTAATTGTCTTTAGAATAGACATTTATTTTAATGTTAAGGTAGCTAGAACAGTAATCCAAACTAATGAAGGGATTTTTTTTTAAACCTGATACATTTAGATACAATAAAATAAGGAAGATAAACGTACTATATGTTGTCATACCAGCAAGCAGTACTGTGTAAACATAAAGTTTAAAGCAAACGAAGCAACACACATATTTCAAATCCGCCCACCTTTCTTTTTTCACTGTAGTGTCTTTTTTTCATGGACACATTTGTCAGACTGTCACTTTGAATCTGTCACTCCGTCTCTTGCTCTTCATGCCCTCACATTGAGCTCTGTCTCCAGGCCTTGACAGACAATGATGACAAGGCATTTTTCCCTTGTTGCTAAACTCTTTGAAGTCTTTGCTGCTAGTCCGTAGCAGAAACCCCTAATCTCGCTATATAAAGTTTCCTGTTATATGATACAATACGAGGAGCTTCTTTCAGATTTTGTGGAAACATCCCTGTGTTGTACTTCGAGAAACTTTTTTGAAATTTTGGGATAAGTTTAAAAAAGCCTAGAGCCATAAAGCTTGACAAAGGGATCTGGTAGTTTTCTCGATTAGTTATTTTTATTTGTGAAAGTCAAACATTGATTTAATCAAAAATGAAGACTTATCTTTTTGAAGAGGTTATGAAAAAGTGACTTTCAATTTGTTCAGTTCCCTGATTTTTTAAAAAGAGATCTGTGATACACACTGTTGTGTAAAAGTCAAAAGGACAAACCCCTGAACATAAACTATAATATGAAAATTGTTCTACATGTGCCAGAGGAGTTCTAGGGTGACAGGGATAACAGTGATAAATGTTCTGGGAGATGGATTACTTACTATCTTCGATGCAAGTCTTCCCATGAGCCACCCTGAATATATTTTTCAAAGCCTCATTCTTTATAATGTGTTACATTTATCTAAGTCTCATGCAGTGCCCTCATATACACACCACTAAAGTTGAATTCAAAAGAGCAGTTCTAACTCTCTCTTTACACTCTATTCCTTTTTTTCCTTATTTTGATTTATGATCAAAAACCCTCCTCAATTACCAGCAGCCTTAGTACAGTAATGGAATGCATTTTATTTTATCTACATTAACATTTTTTTTTTTTTTTTTGTTTTTTTTTCAAAAACAAAGCATCTAACCCATTTGGAAAACAAATCCCTAGTGCCCTGTTTAATTGTGTCCTTTTGTTTGGTCGCCACAGACTTGAGAAAGATTTTTATGTCAGATGCACCTCCTGACATACCAGGGATTCAAACCGGGGTCCCCAACATTCAGTCTAACACTTAAACCACTATGGGGACCATCTACTGTCTGCATAGATATATGATTTAACACAGATGTATGCTTTTTTGAGCTAATGTCCAAAATAGAAACGTAAAGATGGCAAGACATTCAGAGAGGGAACATTTGTGTAAAATGTCATGTTGCAGAAACTGGTTACTACAAAATTACTTAACTAGACCTCCTCAAAATATACAAACATAAAAGTTCAAAAGTTTGAAATATGAGAATATATATACTAGGGGTGTAAATCACATCCATCATGGCGATTCGATTCAGTATCGATTTCCTGACCCAACGATTCGATTATTTTCGATACTCAAGAATACACCACGATTCGATTCGATTCGATTAATCGATTAATCGGTTAATTTTTTTTTTTTATTATTATTATTTTTTTTTTTACACCTTACAGGCTAAACAAAGTTTCAAGTTTGAAATAAATCAATGAAAGCTGTAATATCATTATGCATTTTCTTTAGAAACAACAGCAAATAACAGAAGTAGAAAAGTTGCATCAAAAAATACTGCAAAAATACTGCACAATATCAGTGTAATGAGTTCAATGCAATACCTCGGCTCCAGATAAACTGTCCAATATATTTTTTTAGAATGTAATAAATATACTCAGGAAAGAGAGATGTTGCGTAGAGAGTTAGACAGGAATAAAAATAAACTAGATATAAGGGAATTGTTTCAAAGGTCAAAACTCAATCTCGCCTAGGGCAACCAAAGGGCTAGAACCGGCCCTGGATGCATCGATACAAAACGATTATTATTTACACCCCTAATATATACTCTAGGGATTATCTGATGAACCTGGAATCCTGGTTCATCAGAAAGGTGCTCCACCAGTCAGAAGTGAAGAGTGTTAAGCTTTGTGTGAAGCTTTTCAACACCATTCACTTCTGACTGGTGGAGCACTTCTCCAAGGAGACTATTTTTTAATTGCGAAAAATATTTTCTCACAGAGATCTGATGTTCAACAAAGACCATTTATATAGGTTCCTTGTTACAGTTATGTAAACATGTTATTTCTTAAAACATAACATTAACATCTGGGGGCTGAAATTAGATAATTTAATACAAAAAATACTTATGTGACTTAGTGCTGATATAAGCTTTGTGTCTGATTGCTTGTTTCTGACAAGTTTTGGCTTTCAACTTGATTATTTATTACTGTTGGTTATCGTTTTAGCTCATCTCCCATCAGGGGCCCAAGTTATTTCTATGACTTATAATAAAAGTCATCAGTGGGTCCCAGAATGCATCACAGAGGAGTGATATAAAGGTCCTGATCTAAAGGAGAATGATAAGGATGATGTGGGGGGCCTTTGCAGCCCTTAATAGTCATGTACCAGGGAATGAGCCATGTTGGGTGCTGTATTAGGATGATGTCAAGCTCATTTAGGTTCCAGTCTTAAAAACTTTTTTCATGCTGCCAGGGAAATCAAGTCATTCAAAAACTGGGCAAAGTTGGGAGAAGGCAGAGCTGTGTTTGATCTAGATTGGGCTCTAGAGTCAGAGAGGGGGCGGTAATGGGGGGTTGGAGTGAGGGGGGTTTATGGGGGGTGGCACACTTTTCTAATAGAACTCGACAAGGAAGCCTTCCTCTTCTGAGTTAAAAGAGGGGAGGTCTCTGTAAAGGGCAGATTAGACTTCTGCATCCGCGCACATAAAATGTCGCTTGTGTCTGGTCGTGAACCAGTTTTGCTGGTATGCTTCTGCACCGTCGGTCTGGAATTTCTAGGGACGCACAGCAGTTTCCCACCAAAGTACAAGGGAAAGCCTTTTCGAGAACTCGCGAGAACTTTGTAGTTGTCCATTGTAGTCCATTGTAGTTGTTCCTCGGTTTTTGAAAATGGCGCACCACACAGACAGCCGGAAAGGCATACCAAGGAACAATCACAGCTGCTTGTTGTCTGCGCACTTCCACTTGAGGTCTGCGCAAGTTTGCGACCGTCCGTTGTGTAGTCAGGATTTTTTTGGGGTGCGCGGCCTTAAGGTTTGGGGCTTGTAAAGTTTTTCAGGATCCTCTCTGGTGAAGGGAGGCTGCTGGAGTTGATTAGGTGGCATGGACTTGTCCTTTGTTGGAGTTCAATAAAAAATAAATAAATAAAAAAGCATATTGAAATCCTTCCGAAAAAAAAATAGTGATAATAATAAACCTTGGAAGTCCCTGGTATGAAGTAGTTTCAGTCCTACTTTTCAATTTAGGTAAAGAAATAAGTCCAGAGCAAAATAATGAAAGAAGGGAGCAGGGTCTTAGCAGCCAGAAATGCAGCAGTTCAGTGATATGAAGCTCAGACAGAGCTTCATATCACTTGCTACTCCAATCCTATGATCTTTCTCTTTAAATCAGACAAGTGTCCTATTGGTCCACTTTAAAAATCTTTTAAAACACATTTTTTTTCCTTGACTGTAAATACAGCAAAGATGTTTTTTTTTTTTCTTACTTTTTTTTTATTTCTACTATTGTTTTTAACATTCTAACATAAAAGTTCACCTTTTTTATGTGCAGCACTGTGTTGCAGTTTTAAAGTGTTTTATATGTAAATAAAGTAGAAAAGTAGTGACTGTCAAACATTTACTAAATACTGATGACTAACTGGAAGCACATCCTTTTGATCAGGTCAGTCAAATAATCTTGTCTACAAGTTCTACATAAAAAATATAAGTCAAACATAAAAAAATAAACAATTAATATTTTATAATACACCTTAGGCCAAACGTTTACAAAGGAAGAGAAGCTACTGTATAGTGTTAAGGTTGCCTGTTTTGTTTCATATTACCTGAGAACCTTATTAGAGACCATGAAGTGACCCAATTCTTTAAAATACCATAGAATTTGTCCTTAAAATCACATGTATTTTCAGGAGAACAGTGCATCCACACAACAACCACATCAACAAAAAAGGTTAAGTAGATACAAAATCAACCATCCTTTGTGACAGTCAATCTTTATAGACTGAAGCCTTTGCTTAGCTAAAGACAATGGAGTATAAAGGGAGGGCTAAAGAGTTGGAACATTCCTTATTCTGTGCACTCCAACCCATTGAAATGTTATAAGAGAGAAATAATTACTGCCCTTGTGATAAAAGAAAATTGCACATTGAATTAGTAAATAAGTATTTATCAAGCACCTGTGATACATCATTAGGTTGAAGCACGGTTGAAATGCAATTTCTCACTAATATTGGTTCATTTTAAGGTTTTATTTTTTATTATTTTTCTCAGATTTAAGATATATGTGACTATTATGGGTTCTTCTTTCATTTAATGAGGGGTGCCAACAACAATCTCTACCTGTGTAAAAGGTAGTAAAACTGATAAAAATATTGAAGAAGAAAAAGAGACGTGCACATCCTCACAAGAGAGCTCCCCTTCTTAAGATACTGAAAGTTGTACGCCTGCAGAGACAGAGATAAAGAATAACAGAACAAGGAGAAAAAGTTTTACCGGTACAAACGATCAACACATATATGACATATCGTTGACAATTACACAGTATTTAAGACAAGATGTTTTTAGTGGCAGCTGAAGCTAACTATTTGGTTTATCTGTATACAGTAGCTCTGTATCTTTAAGCATCTGGCCCACAGTGTGCTTGTGTATGTAAGGAAAAATAAATGGTAAATTGTTATTGTGAGGAATCAAAGACCGGCTCCCCCACAATGCTGAGGAAGACTGAGGTCATAGCCCCAGACCTCCAAAAGAACCCCCATAGCACAGGAGCCCTAGGAGGACCAACACAGTGATGGTTGCAAGTCCCATCCCAGAGGAGAGTCCACTCAGCCACAATGTAGGCCCCCAAGTGGGCTGCACAATAATAATCACCAACACACTTGCAGGCTTAGGTGCCAGCCACTGTCAGGCAATTTGGTAGGGTTTGGAAATGGGTCCCACTTTTAGTGAAGACCTGACATGATTTATGAGAAGGGCAGTCCAAAACCCAACCTGAGAAAGAAACAGGCACACAATCACAGGGATGCTGTCAAAATCACACATTCTCACCCTTATGTCCACACATACAGACACCCATAACCATACACGCAGTGCCTGATCTTCAATGTGCTTAGATGTACTTACAATATTTTTTAGTATGTGCAATAAGTTGGTGTTTTTTGTTTAATCAAGGTAGAAAAAAATAGATGTTGCAAGTAAGAAGAGATGCATTCTTTCACACCACCGGAATCTTTTCATTTTGTTTTAAATATATAAATATTGTCTTTCATCCCACCTCATTAATCCATGTCCACCTACAAAGATGTTTATTTTTTCTTTATCAATATTATTCAACTACTAATATACTTGCTGGTTCGAATATGTTTACATCTGAACCAATTCTGCCTCCATCATCTTGTATTTACCAATACTTCCTCTGTGGTAACAATGACTGCAGAAATGTTTATGTGTGAGTTTAAACCTGACATTTGGAAATACTAAAAAAGACACCAAAACTTTGGCCGCAGTTGAGTTTAGAAAGATATATTGCTTGTGGACATTTTCATATCATCCACACATGAAGTTATGCAGTTTGTTCATTAGAATATGACCTGTATATTGGTGAAGATACATACTAAAAAAATTGTTTGCTCACAACTGACCGCTGATTGCATACACAAATCACTTTGCACCTTCTTTGAACACCCCAACCAACACACACACACACACCATACATTCATGTCCAGTTCTGGATGAAAGGGCGACCAACCCCCAGAACTAAGAGGTAGGCCCCTTTACCATGGCAAAGACCAGCCTACCTGTGCAACCAGATGAGGGCATAGCAACAAATGAAAATGGACAAATCCAGCATGGCCTCCTGCTCAGATCCCATCCCTGATGATACCCAATTCCACTGATGAATGGACAGGACTATCACATCATAGACGAGCCAGCCAACCAGAGCCACCCCAGGATGAAACGGTTCTTCCCCCAAAAAACATCCCAATTATAAACCCATGAAGCATGAACTAGAACAAAGACATAGACAAGGACACCCTTAGAGCCTCTTTTCTAGCTCCTCTTTCAGCCCTTGATGTCATGGATTTACTTATAAAAATCTAATCTGATGTAAATTCTACATCAGAAAGCAACAACTTTTTAAGATGAATTCTCATGTCCACGGGAAGGTCAGACTGATGAAAACCGTGTCTTTTGGTCACATAAGTCATTCAGTGGCGGAACAAGCCTGCTTTCTATACAAAGGCGAATTTGAGAAGCCCTGTACAAAGCATTGAGTTGATACTTTGGTCAAAACTTTCCCAGTGTTACTTTATCAAATTCATTATTGCACATCTGAAGCTGTTTGTTTCAACTTGCTTAACAATATTAAGTCTGAATTCATAGGTTTTAAGTCAACATAAGCAAATCAATGACTCACTGGGATGACTATGGGATGAAAGTTTTTTGTTCTTCAAATGTATAGTGGCTTGTATGTAATTCTCTGCTTTATCTCATCTGTCTGACCCTAACTTGACCCTGACTAAATTACATCCAACATCAAGACAACACAGCTGGCATCCGGACCCAGAAGTCAAGCTTTAACCGCCATGAACAGAATGTGTACTTCCTGCCCATTCTCGTTGTTGACAGTGGACCTCCCTCCCTCAGCTCAACGGGGACCCTAACCATCCATGTTTGTGGCTGCGACACAGGTGAGAGCCACTGCGGTGGCAGCACTGTTACTAATATTAAAATCACTGTCACCCTTGGCGGCAGTAGTTGCGCTATGAAAAGGTCAACTTGTCATTGTTTTGCTTAGCAAACATTTTTTTTCTGATCTTATTTATGGAAAGCACAACAATACATGGCAATAAAATCTACAGACAAATTGCCTTTTACAGTTTATAAATCTGTAAAAAGAGACATGGTGAAAATAATGTTTTTTTCTTAGGGGAAATGAATGCTAGTAGGTTTAACAGAATTGGAAGCTGTGTCAAATCTGTTCAAGCACATGATTTTGGTGTTTTTTTTTGTTTGTTTTTTTGCCTTCTTTTTAAATGCAGAGGGAGCTATCCAGACCTGCAATGCAACAGCCTATGTAATCAGTGCAGCTCTTAGCCCTGGGGCACTTATAGCACTTCTGGTCTGCATGCTCATCCTCATAGGTAAGCTGATGAATGTACTTGTGCATGTATTTTACATTTCAATGAATAGAGCATAGAGATTAATAAATAGAATAAATAGATGTATGTTTATTTGTAAAAGTATTTTGAGTATGTTAATTATATTGATATGGTGCTAATGACGGAGGTGATCGATTGAATAGCATTTGTAATATTTCCTTTCAGAGAGGCATTTTTCTAAATGATTTAAAACTTGCAAGAGTAGTTTCACTATTGAAACATGCAGACAGTATGGATAATTACAGGCCAGGTTCATTATTTTCTCAGTTTTCTAAAATAATAAATAAATATTGAGTATTTAAAAGGAAAAACTTCAAAGTCATTAGCAATTTTACATCAAACAAAGAACATGCTAAATATTAAATGTTTGCATTTAATATATTACTCTCTGATATGCCCTTATTTAAGAATTATTGAGGACAACTTACAATACCACAACAAAAAAAAGACTAAGGCTGAAACAAAAAATTCCTGCCTTCTTGCAACAAAATTAAGCTACACTTTGCCTAATAACAATAAAGAACCCAGGAATAATGCAAGAAAATATACTTTAATTACAAAGATAGTTTTCAAATAAAATGTTGTGTACAGCTTTTTTGAAGCAGAGAATGGATGTTCATGACTGTGTATTTGTTTTTCTGAGCCGTTTCCTACCCAGTCCTCCTCATTGGTCTATCCCCCTCCACCCAAATCGCTATCATCAATATTTTGAAGGACTTCTTAAGCCTGTTTTGCTGTTAGATTTCTTCTGAAAGCCATTTTTCAGTATTAGCCAAAGAGTTCTAGGTAGAATGTTGGTTGCTAGGTAAAATTAACCATATTTATTTTGTACGTTTTTATTTTATAAAAAAACTACGTGAAAATGAAGGAAATATAGAAAGAGAAAATGTCAGTTAACATAAGATTAATTTTAAATATAGTTCTTTCCCTTTAAAATCTCAGAACCGTCAAAATGACAGCCTTGAGAGTTTTAGTGTTAAATGTATCTATTATAAAAAATGTTTTACTGCATTGGAAAAATAATGAATGTTTGACATCATGCACACCATAATAAATAAACAAAAAATAAATAATTAAATAAATCTTCATAAATTTTAGAAAAAGCTCCTGGGAGCGGCAAATGGGGCGCTAAAGAGCCGCATGCCATTTTATTTAATGACATCAAAACACACTTCTGATCTTTCCAACTTGTTCATGTCATGCAGTTTGTATCTGCCTTTCATGACGAGGAGGCTTTTGTTTAAAGCGGAAATAGGGAGAGTGCAAATTCTGCCTGGTTTTATGATTGATATGAAGCTACTTTGATCCATAGTATACAGGCAGAAATAGAATGTATGAGAGTAAAGTGCAGGAGGGTTAGAGAGGACAAACAGGCAAAGAGCTGCCTCAGCACTCATCGTTCTACACTAAGAGGCTTTATATTGTCAAATTTATTGTCAAACCAGACAATCCTAGATTTATATATATATATATATATATATATATATATATATATGTGTGTGTGTGCCTGTGTTTATATATATAAACACAGGCACACAGTAACATACTGTTGGGTACCAATTCTCACTCAAGCTACTACCAAACTACCAGATAGCCAATATTGTAATATTTGGAAAAATTAATGAGGTCGCCTTACATTGAACCTCCCCACATTGACTGCAGGCTTTTGCATTCTACTCTTTACTGACAACAAGGGCGACAATACTGACAGAGTGTTTTGTCTCTCTGCCTGTGAAGTTTATACAGTGCAGGCGGTGAATGATGGAAGATGTGACATGATGTTGCTTTAACTATGACTTACATTGTTCCATTTTTCTTTTAAGAGGTTTTCTAATAAGTGTTGTGAAAATTCTGTTCCCTTTAATGAAACAGTTCACCAAAATGAACTCAGAATGCAAAGCATTACTTACTCATCGCAGATATAAAAGCCTCAAAAAAACTGTTGTCTTAAACATGGTTCCATCATCAGCACAAGGTCAGTCCAATACTTAGAACAAGACCTTTCTCTGGTAATGTCTTTATGTTGGCCTTGGTGAAAAAAAAAAAAAAAAACAAACAAAAAAAACAGATGCATTTTTTTATACTGGAATGGCTTCATATTTAATCCCGTTGCAGCAGTCCGACCGTATGGATACCATTTGTTAATCTCCTTGATGGCTGAAAACACATTGCATCTTTTTCACTCATCAAAACATTTTACAACTTGTTTTGTTGACCAAGTTGCATCTCCTGGATTCTGTATGTCAGTGAAATTTCAAGGTTTTTGGTCAGAATCACAAGACAAATAGTGTTTTCAACAACAACTTGGTGATATTGATAAAGAAATGATCACAGCATCTGACAACAGTCTTATAATATCAACAACAGCCTTTTTTTGGTTTTCTTTAGTTAATACATCTCATAAACAAAACTAAAAACTACTTGAGAATTCACCTTGCATCAAAACAGCCTTTATTTCTATACGACCTATTTATTTTACAGTCTATTATTGTTTTTGTATTGTCTTTCCTTTCTCACACACATCATTCACAGTCTCCCACTAAGGACACAATGACTAATCAGCTGGCCAACACTTTCTCCAGAGGCTGGACCACCTCAATCGCATCAATTGCTGGATGATGAGAAAAATGAAAACAAATTTCTGCCTAATTACCGCACAAACAAACAGTCCCTCCATCAGGTCTTATATAGGGCTGATGTGATGAATCCATTTCATTGCAACACAGCATCTGCTTGCATCCATTCCAATTACCTCCCATCTGCTTGTGATGAACTCCTGCGTGAGGGCAACCAGCGCAGCCCAAGGGGAAATTAACTGTCTTGTCAGGAACACTTATCACAACATCTGTACACATGGGTATCAGCTTTGTATGTATAGAAGTTAGCTAAACACAGGTACATACGCTTCCAGCAAGAGTAAATTCTGTACATGGTGTTCTATTGACATTTTTAAAGGTATGTTAATTACTAAAGTAAATGGGCTTTCAAAGTTGCAAAGCTCAGACATCCTCATGCCTAAAAGTAAGTGATACTAAACAGTTAGGAGAGTTTCTGTCTTTTTAACCTAATATCACACGATCTTTAACAATGTTTTCCAATGTACTCCTACACCTCAAACATTTGTCCTAATACTTTTGCCGGATGCATGAAAAGTAAATTTCACAAGTAACCCAAAACAATGAGTTTTTCTTTGGCCTCAATTTGCTCAATATATTGAAGAGAAGAATAAAACAATTGTAACAAGTGCTGCTCCCCAAATGATTTCCAGCAACACAATGTGAATGGAGAACAACATTCTCAATCATAGATTACACATAAAATCAGTCGAAGAGCACAAGAGCTTTTAATTCTACCAAGAGATTTGTAGTTCTGTAGGAATAGTTTTAGTCTCACATTTAGGACACACAGCATATTTAGACAGTGTAAAACATATTTTATATATAATCTCTCCTTTGTTTGGGGGAGAATTAACTGAACTATAAATCTAAGCTTTGTGATATGCATACAAAATGTTGTGTATCTAGTTTATTGTGTGAGTTACATGAAAAAAACTTCATGAAGGTCTAACATTATCCTTGTATTGCAGTAAGGAAATTGCCATCTCTTAATTTTATAGTGGACAGATGGGTCTCCTGATGGGCCAAGCATAGACTGCCTGTATATTTCAAAGTCTTTTTTCCCTTTTATCTCTGATAGGTTTGTGGTTTTGGATGGTTATTATCTATTCATGAAGATTCACAGTACTTAGTTTTAAAATTATCCAGGTAACTCTTATTTATACATTTTTAAGGCGCTCTTTTCTTCACTCTTTGTGGTTTTCTAGTGTCACAGCCAATGACCCACTCTTTGCAACAGATTAACCACCATTCATCTACCATTTCTCTCTAAGTGTAGACAAATTTTCTGCTTTTTGACCTATCTTTTAAAATTGAAAATTGATGGTAATGATAAAGGTTATTTGAAGATAAGTTAGATCTATGATCAGTTTAGGAATGGACTTACCATATACGCAAAGTAGGAAGCTGCTTGGGCCCCCTAGAAGCATAGGACCCTATTAATGACGGGCCCTACTGGTCTAAAGATACATATCCTTAGAAGGCCCAGATATCTAAAATTCGCCCAAGTATATTTATGCATGTTTGAAATAAAATAATAATAATTATTATTATAATAACTAACAAAGCAATAACAAATAATGCTGAGATAATGCACCATCAACTTCGACTCCACCGTTTTCAAATACCAAAATGGACTGATCCTTCTCACCACATAAAATCCAGAGATACAATATGGTGCTGAAGCAAGCAGTGGTATATACCAGAAAAATGGAAAGATTAAACAGAGCTTTGGAGGGTGGTATGAAAATGGGGAAAGTTAGAAAAAAAAACAAAAGCTGTAATTGTACCCAAATTTTCTGAAACCCTTCATGTTTTTTGAATAGCCCCAGATCTCATTAGAGAATATTGGTAATTTGTCCGTCTTTTAATGGCCAAAACTCCAGTTTAGTTCAGGGTTATTGACCTGTCTCGTTCATTATGCGACAAAATTACATTGAGTGCTTCAAACAGGGCTCCAACAAGGGGAAAAAGCTCTTTCCAGAGCGGCTTTGGTGCCAAGCACAGGCTTGTTCCGTGGTGCATTTTTGCAGATGGGAGGTGAAAGTGGATTAACCCAGGCTAAGCTCAGTGCAAAACCCAAATACTGCCTAAAATGGAATAACTGTAAGTTATGAATAAGTATTTATTAACCCAGCATGACCTGAGCTAAATAATTACTCATTCAAGCTTTGCTTTGGCCATCATAAGGTACAAATGGTAGATGGACATTTTAGCTGAAGAGAAGTCAAACGTAAAAGTTCTGTCTGTGATAGGTAACACTAGGAACCCATTTTAGGAGATTTTAGTTGGATTTACCTTAACAATACAACTCCCAGAATTCTGATACTGCTAGAGCTCCCACTGGTTGTCAATTTGACAGGTGAC